GTCCAATTAGACCAATTACAATTCGAATTGGTTCCTCACCCACCGTATTCTCCAGACTTGCCCCCCAGCGACTATTATCTGTTCCCAAAGCTCAAGTGGTGGCTCCAGGAAAAGAGATTTACACATCGAATGAGGAAGTCATCGCGGAAACCGAGGCATATTTCGAAGGCTTGGACGTTTCGTACTACAGAAAGGGCATCGAAATGTTGGAAAATCGCTATACCAAGTGTATCATCCTCGAAGGGCAATTATGTTGAGGAATAAATATAACTTTGCACAAAAAACGCTTGTTTTCATTAAAAATCCCGGGACTTTTCAGCCCATGTAGTATGTGTCTGTGAGGTGGAGTTTACGCCGAGAACATAAAAAAATTGTGTTATCTTTACAATTTCTTATTTCAGTATGGCGTTCTAGAATTGCTACATCGTGCCAACATTTGCTTCATATAAAAGCTATGCCATTTGTACTTACAAATCAGTGATCTGCAGACTACCAGTTGTTGCAAAGATACAATGTGAAGTTTTTAAAATTGGATTTATAAGTATAATTGAAATTATTCTTATACGAAAATTATGTTTACATGTGCATAAGATATTGATGTATCATATACTATTCTGAACGTAGAGATGCGTCGATGATACGTAAATTGTTTATGTATAAATCCAACTTACACTACGACTAATCGTTTTTAGGATCCATTTAAAAATAGAATGTATAACATATAAAATATTAGGTGTTGGAATTAATTCGTAGCGTTTTTTAATGAAAGAATGTTATTTATTTCACATGAGCATTAAAAAATACATTAATGAAAGTACTTCCCATCACTTGTAAAACGCTACGAATTAATTCCAACACCTAATATATTTTTGATCTATCCAACAAAAACAAAATAAAAGTTTAAGTTTAAGAAAAAAATTATCAAAATCACAACTAAAAACGCATACGTTAAATGAACCACTACTCCTGAATCGACCAAATGATAATTAAATTTAAGTAAATTGTTAACCTTCTTTATAATCACAGATCCGCAACGAAGACTTCAGAATCAACAGAACATGTTATGGATAGTCCTCTTGAAGATATAGAAAATATAGGAAAAGAACTTCCCGCCGAATTAGAGTTATGCGATACAGAAAAAGAAGTTCCTGGTAGAGAAGAACTTCCTGATAGAGAAGAACTTCCCGAAATGAAAGAACATAATACCTGGTCAATCATCAGATAGTTTTCATAATTTCTACTCTCCTGATCGTGAATGCGAAATAACCTATGATCTTTTAAAAAAAAGAATAATTGATACTATACATTATACAAATCTATTTCTTAATGAGATCCTAACTTCAAAAAATGAAAACTCTGAAGGGAATTGCTATTTTACTGATAAAATGTGACACGTTGACACATTCTTACATACTGCAATTCGATGTCATATATATATACGCATATATACATAAATTTTTATAAAACGATATCGTTTTAATAACATGTTAGTCTAATTCCAACAACGATGTTGTTCTTCTAACCGACTAAACCATATAATTCTCGTATGACAATTACTTTTTTCTTTTTTATAGATTCGAGAATTTTTTATCACAATTAATCTATACATATTAATATGTGTCTGTGAGGTGGAGTTTACGTCGAGAACATGAAAAAATTGTCTTTACAATTTCTTATTTCAGTATGGCGTTCTAGAACTGCTACATCGTGCCAACATTTGCTTCATATAAAAGCTATGCCATTTGTACTTACAAATCAGTGATCTGCAGACTACCAGTCACAAAGATACAATGTGGTGAAGTTTTTAAAATTGGATTTATAAGTATAATTGAAATTATTCTTATACGAAAATTATGTTTACATGTGCATAAGATATTGATGTATCATATACTATTCTGAACGTAGAGATGCGTCGATGATACGTAAATTGTTTATGTATAAATCCAACTTACACTACGACTACGTTTTTAGAATCCGTTTAAAAAGCATAGAATGTATAACGTATAAAATATATTTTTGGTCTATCCAACAAAAACAAAATAAAAGTTTAAGTTTAAGAAAAAAATTATCAAAATCACAACTAAAAACGCATACGTTAAATGAACCACTACGCCTGAATCGATTACCAAATGATTATTAAATTTAAGTTTTTAACCTTCTTTGTAATGCAAATATAAGACAAATATGTCCAGATATATACATACTTAAAGCTCTATTAATTATGTTGTACGTTAAGTATATAATTATTATTTGTCTAAATTTTTATATAACTTTATGTTACATAAAAATTTATTTTACATCATTTTCTACTAACATCATACATTTTAAATATACATATATACATGTAGATGTATTCACATATATATATACACACACACACACACACACACACACACTCATTATTTAATATCTATGAATACTCTATAAGTAGTAGAGCTTTTATATAACGTTTTTTAAATTAATTTATTAATTTAGTTAACTTTTTTATGATCACATTATTCACTGAATATAAAACAATTTCGCCAATTGTATTGATATTAAGTAAATGATTTGTTTGGGGCCAAATGTCACTTTCAGTCAGTTACTCTGGTAAAGGAGTAATTTTTTTCTTCGATTGATTTCGACTTAATTTCCATTCAGTATCATTAATATATAATTATATCTTCATTTTCATATTAGCAAAATAAGCAATTTTCAGAAATTCTTTTGCATTTATTTAATTAAGATAAGAAATTTATCTTTTTCAATATACTGAAAAAAAAAAGATATTCCGTGAATAAATTTGAACAATGACATTTTATGTATCGCTATAAATTTTACGTATGTTATTTACCTTCTGCGAATAATATAAAATAAAGACACTAAGATATATATGCAAAATAGACAAGATGGCTGTTTAGTACTGAAAGAAATTAAAGTATTGGAGAAAAAAATAAAAATAATGTAATATGATGCAGTTTTATATAAGAAATATTACGACAAATGCAGCCATTAATTAAGCAATATTACGACAGATGCAGCCACTAATAAAATAAAAATCTTTGATTGACAGTAGAACAACAAATTACTTTTGGATAGACTGTTATATGTTTAGAAACTTATCAGATAATCAATTATCTTTAAAATTTTTAATATGTCTTTAAACTTAATTAAATTTGGATGAAATCGTTTTATACGTAACCAAAATTAATATTTTATCATTTCAATGTATTGCATTTTTTATTGTATTACGTAGTATATTTCTCATCCGTTTACATATTCTATAAAACGTTTAGAGTAAAAGCTTAATGTGAAGAATGAAATCTCACTTTTAAAGATTAAAAATTGTGCCACTTTTTTTTAAGACTGACTCAATTTTCATTCTTTAGAGTTAGATTCCATTCCAAAAAATTTAGAGATAATTTTTACCTACCAATTACGTTCTCCATTGTAATTATTTTTATATGTTATTAACATTCATCAGATATTGGTAGCTAAAACTCTAATTTCTATTGCACAATTTTAATATTATCAGCACTACTTATCTTTGCACAATTTTAAAAATTTTGTAAAAAACTATGATTTATCAGGTCAGGGAAATCAAGTCAGTTTCAAGGAAAATCAGATAATATGACAAAATCGTTTTGTGATACTTGACTAGGGTTAAAAGACTGTAGCAAATTGTTTATTCAAACTTAGATACAGATGAAGAATAAGAATGTTCATATGCAAGAAATATTTTTTTCTTATTATTATATGTACAATACATTCTTTATGCTCTTACTTTCAAATGTTTCTAATTAAATGAGAGAAAGCCTATATTCGATCTCGTTTCTAATGTATATTGTTTGTATTTCCTTTTACATATCAGATCTCTTGAATCCATAATTTTTATTATACTTGTAAATCACTAAAATAATAATGAGATTGCATTATTCTTCTAAATAAGATAGACAAAATAATTTATTATTGTGTATTAAATATTTGTGTGTGTCGTTATGAAGGTAAGGTTCAGTTACTTCTTTTATTTTATCTTCATTGTTAATCTTTTTCTTCAGATGTTTCATTTTTTAATTTTGAAAAGAACAACTTTTTTTTACTTTAAATACAATTATAGTTTAATAATTTTGATTACGAGTCATGTGGATTTAATATGAAAATGCACACAAGTATGTTTTGGAATAAATGGATTAATTAATGGTCTTAAATATATAACAACAGAACTATAAATATTAGTCGAAGAATCGAAGACATTACAAATTATGTCACAAATAAATTCCAAATGCAAATAGCGATTAAAGTAATTGTTGAATTCATTATCGTACTGAAAAAATACGTTACCACAAAAATTATAAAATACGAAAATTAGCGCTATTATAATTTTATAACCGACGAAGTAATGGTAACGTATAAAAAGTAATGCGTTTCTTAACCTGAGATTTACATTCAATATGATGTAATAATCCACTCACAAGAGCCTGGAAGACGATTTTATTTAATGCGAGTTTGTGAGAAATTGCGTGTACGGATCTCTCGCTGAAATTTCATCCTTCTTCATGTGACTTCTTGCAGCGTCTTCTCAACACCGACCGTGGCGAAAACTAAAGGAAGGTTTCCAAAGCTCAAGCGGTGGTGGAAAATCGCTATACCAAGTGTATCGCCCTCGAAGGCAACTATGTTGAGGAATAAATATAACTTTGCCAAAAAAACGATTGTTTTCCCATTAAAAATCCCGGGACTTTTCAGCCTATGTAGTAAATGGCAAATATAAAAATAGGACACCGTCAAAAAATTCATCTATATGTGAGATAAAGTAATTTATTCTTTATAAATAATGTATTTAAAATATTAAAATAAAAATGTGACATAAAATATATACAGATTAATTATAATATCTGAAGATACGGTAGTGCCTTGGCATTAATTATAGTCATCACATTGGTTACGAATTTAATTCTTTCTCTTTTTGTCGTAATCTTTTCAATTATATATCATTGCATTGTGAGTCTAAATCAATAATATGATAATTATCATATTTAATATATAATATTTTATAAAATGGTATATACATATATAATATTTTTCTGAATTTTTTATTTCTTTTATATTATTAGAGATGCATTTTGCCTAAAGTGTGGGAACAGAGAATGGATAAACTAGCGCATTTAATAGCGCAAATAATGTGCAATAAATAACGTTTTGTATAAAATAATGTGCAATATTACAAAATGTATTAGGTGTTGGAATTAATTCGTAGCGTTTTACAAGTGATGGGAAGTACTTTCATTAATGTATTTTTTAATGCTCATGTGAAATAAATAAC